CGAATGTTGCACTAAAAATGTGAAAATGAGCAGATTGAATATTATATTCCACTTCTACAACAACTTACTTTCGGACCCGAAAGAGTTCTTTGATATGTAGGGCAAATCCAGCCATATCCGTGGCGAATTCTCGACGTGGGGCAAACAGAACATCCCAGGCTTCAATTCGGCCATTTTTGCCCACTTTAGGGGCCTCAACCCAAGCTCCGCCAACGAGACCTTAACCAATAGTGCTAATATTATATTATAACAATAATGATTTCCAAAATATTACATGATAAGCTTTTGAAATTATTCTGATTTAACACTTGCAGAATATTTGCATTAACACCTAGATAAATACCGACTATTAACTATACTGGTACCAATATTAATACTAATACTAGTATTAATATTAATAATAATATTATTATATTAGTATTGGAGCAAAACTAATATGGAAACGGAAATCCATGCCAACACCATGCTACTTTCAATACTAATATTGCTACTATTACCAATCACTAATATTAGTTGTAGTACTAGTAGTAAGGTTATTGAGATGCTAGTACTAACGTAATCGTCTTAAAAAAAACTATTACTTGCTAGTACGATAAGTAAATAATGACATTTGTACCAATACAAGTTCTGTGTAATGAAAATACAATGTAAAGACCTAATACTAATTCTAGTACAGATACTAATACTAATATTAGCACTAGCATTAACACTAATACTAATACTGATTTTATTACCAATATAGCCACAAATTTAATATTAGTGCGAACACTGGTTACAATATTGATACTCATCCTAGTATGCACGGAATTGCTAATATTACTACTAATACAAATACTAATATCAATACTCTACTAATCTGATACTATTAATGATGCAATGTCAGTACTAGCATCAATGTAATTGGGCCATTTGTAATAGTGCTGGTGCCATTAATAACTCTGTACAGTAGTAGTACCACCAATGGCAATAGTACTATCATTGGTATTAATGATAACGCCATAGTGCTGGCATTAAAACGGCAACGGCTAGTCACGGCATTTTGATTTATAATTCTTTTACTAATATTAGCACTAAACCTAATTGGCACATAATGGTTATTTTATCTGCTTAGGATCTGCCCTTTGAAATATATTTTTTCCTATTTTAAAATTCCTGGTAGTTCTTATCTGGAAGTAAAATTGCATTCATTTTGATTGATTTTGTATTGGATGGCTTCTGAAATGTATGATAAAAGAGGGAATTGTGTGAAGCGATCTGGACAGAGAAGTTGGCGGGGAAAAGTTTCGTTTTGACCGCCTTAAAAGGGTATAATCAGAGCAAGAAAGGAGAAGTGCATGAGTAGAGAAGGGCTCAAGGGGGTAGAACGGAGGCGTTAAAGATGGAGCTAACCTACCCGTTATTGTTGCATTATTGGGGTAA